GGAATATTCAACCTTCGTCTCAATGAAAACCGAAAGAATTCCTTGAACATTCAGACTAAAAAATAAAAGGTGAATTGTACAGTCATTTAAAATTTGCTCTTCGATATCATACGAAGTTGTTTTCCTTAACAAAAATTTGCAGTTTCGTGCTTCCTCTTCCTGAATTATCTCATTATTTTTAATAGATGATTAGATATTAAGTACTTGAATGACTAAACTCTAAATTAAGATTCTGTTAAAGCAAAATTCGCTTAAAATTAAAAAAGTGAGATAACATTTCTCGTTTTTCGTAATTGTTTACATATTGGAAAATATTTTTTAAACAATTACAAAAAACGAACAATTTTATCTTATTTTTTCTTTAATTTCAAGCGAATCTTTGAAAAAATCTTAGAGTTTGATCAATTACATATTCAAGAATTTGTAGCTGCATTTTATCAATGATCTATTATCGGAGAACGCGTCTTGTTTACAATGATATATATGTAAAAGTGATAGGCAAATTATAATGCCTTTATAAAAGATGTTCCATGAAAAATTGTAATTACAAATTCTTATAATGCAGTTATTTAAGACCACATTTTGTGATAGCCATTAATTATTTGTAATCAATTTTTTGCAAAAAGTAAGAAGTATATAAATATGTCTTACGCGAGCAGTATTTTTGATTTTCATTGAAATTCCTTATTACTTAAAATAAACGGAGAGGCCTCAAGTAAGTATAGTAACGATTAACGATATAATAAGATTGCGGTTTTATCTTTGACGGCAAATTGCCAATGTCGCTCGTAAAGAGCAATAAATTCGATGATCAAATGTAGGAGTATAAGAAGAAAGATCATGATGGAAGTCAGTCGTTTCTCTTCTCTGGGTCTTATCTAAAGTCTTTATACATCACGTAAAATGAAATGCAACATTATTTCGACTCGTTATATTGTCAGCGTGTTTATCGATAATGAGATGAGTCACGATAAAGTATTCAAAATAAAGATACAGAATTAATTTAATTTAATTAAAGTGTGTTTGTCAAAAAATTTAAAGTTTATGTATTATTATCACTTTTATTGTCTTGTGAGTCAATAAATATACTATTTAAACTATTTTGTATTGAAAATGAAAAGATCTAACATGGAGATTGATGCCAATATAATTTTAATCAATTTTCAATAGAATACAAAATCGAAACTATTATATAGCCCAGTTGGTTGATGTTTGCTGATAATTTATTAATATGATATAATTATGAAATTGGTTCAGACGTTTCGACCATAAATGTAATCCTTTTCAATGAATAAATTAATTAAAATCGCAACGATAAAATCTTACGCTAAGAGATCTATTATATTGTTAGTCGATGATCTTCGTGATGCGTTTTCTTTGATTTATTAGCGTCCTATCTCATAGTGTGTCAAGTTATAAAATTTGTAGAATTAAGTGGATAGAGAAATCACAGTTTCCAAATCTATATGATACAATTGTGTAATAATTATGTGTGAATTAATATATTCGAAATTTCTGTTAACATTGGAATCACAGGTATTTACATAATTAAAATTTTGTTAAACCAAATTTTAATTATGAATACCTGTGATTCCAATGTTGACAGAAATTTTTTGATCTTAAAATAATGTAGCAATAATGTACATCAACCAGTTGGGCTATTATAGCTCTGATTTTGTATTCTATTGAATTTTATTCGACATAGCCAATAACATATATTGTAATTTTAATTTTAATCAATTTTATTTCCGTCATTGTTAATATGCAAAAAAAAGACTGTCAAGTCATCGCGCTTATCGTAAATACAAGCTTAGCGAAATTGTATTCCATTTCGATATTCTCACGCTGTTCTATGGTATAAAATCGAAGTTTTGAATTATCTATTACAGAATTGATTTTGTTAATTTGTTCTAATGAATTTGATTTTCCATGTTGAAGATACTATAATATAGAGAATAGAGCTAGAGCGGTACCTATCACGTTCTGTCACAAATAGACGTAAAAGTTATATCGATCCTGAGTCGACGTTTATGGCATATAAAAGCATAAATTTAACGAAATCACTGAAAATCTTACATATATAAATCAATGAAAATGTCTATAAAATATTTTAAAGTCGAGTAGACGATTATAAAATCGTCAAGCGTAAATCTTTCTCTTCTTTCTTTTTAATAGTTCTTAATCCTTTTCAGCAGATTCGATACGGAATCGTGAATGTCTAGTCGAATCAGCCCAAAGGTTAGTTCCATTTATAAAAACGCAAACAAATTAGGTCCGTACTTTGTGCATATGAGGGGCACCATTTATATTTTGAGCCTAATAATAAAAAAACAGTAATTTGTCATTGAAAATGACTTTATTGTTTTTCAAAATATTCTCCTTTATGATCTATACACTTTTGCATGCGTTCGAACCACTTGTCAAAGCATTTTTTCCATTCCGCTTGAGACACCTCCAAAACATGGTTTTTGAATGCATCAACGGCTTCTTCTGCCGACGAAAATCGTTGTCCACGCAATTTATTCTTGATGTTCGGGAACAAAAAGAAGTCATTTGGAGCCAAATCAGGACTGTACGGTGGATGACCCATTAATTCGATTTTTTGAGTGCTCAAATAGTCGGTTATTATACGAGATGTGTGACAACTGGCATTGTCTTGATGAAGAATGATCCGGCGGCGCTTGTTTGTTTTCCTTATTTCACAGAAGACTTCCGGCAAACAAATGGTTGTGTACCATTCAGAATTGACCGTTCTACGTTCCTCTAAAGGCACTGTTATCACATGACCAGTTTTTCCGAAAAAAACAGGCGACCATTTGTTTCGAAGTGCTTCGAGCGCGAACAACTTTTGTTGGATTTGGTTCATCTTGAAACACCCATACAGTCGACTGCTGTTTAGTTTCCGGCTCATACGCATAGATCCATGATTCGTCACCTGTTACAATCTTATACACGTCTTTTGAAGCACCGCCATTGTATTTCTTAAGCATTTGTTTGCACCAATCGACACGAGCATCTTTTTGAGATTTTGTCAGATTATGTGGGATCCAACGAGAACAAACCTTTTTCACGGCTAAATGATCATGCAATATTTTATATATGCTGGTGGAACTAATGCCTAAGGTTGTCTCAATCTCACAGTATGTCACATGACGATCTTGCATTATTAGTTTTTGCACAGCATCAATGTTTTCTGACACAACAACTGATTTTGGACGACCTTCACGACTTTCGTCGGTGAGCGAACGGCGACCACGATTAAATTCGTTATACCAGCGTTTCACAGTGGCAAAGGATGGGGCTTTATCGCCAAAAGTGGAAGTAAGTTGATCGATGCACTCCTGTCTTGATAATCCACGTCGAAAGTCGTAATAAATCATTGCACGAAAATTTTCACGAGTTAATTCCATTTTTTCGCTGAGACACAATTTTCAAGTGACTGTAAACAATACAAATCGCGCTCAAATAACAAAACGTTCTGAAGAAGGTTATGGTCAAAAATGTCAAACTTTCTAGTGGAAACGTCAGATGGCACTTGACAACACTCAGTGTTGCCAAGGCTCAAAATATAAGTAGTGCCCCTCGTATCAATGGCGTTTTTTCGTTATGCAACCGAAGTAACCACGGCTAAGGTTATTGCTGGATTCACACTGTATCCGATTTTCGTCGTACAACGCTCTGCAACCAATCAGAAAACAGGATTCCGATGAATTTTGCTTCGTATTATCGGAATCCTGTTTTCTGATTGGATGCAGAGCGTCGGATGCAGTGTGAATCCAGCATATCTTCGTATTATGATCCCTGAAGACAAAGGGCGGTATTCATAGTCAGATCTTATATTCAAGACCGTCTTAAGTACAGTCTTAAGAAGTCATGAACCAATCAGAAGGCCGTATTAGCGACTTCAGACATTACTTAAGACGGTCTTATGCTGGTTCTACATTAGTCGCATCGCAGCGTCGTAAGCGTTGCGGTCCAATCAATATCCACCTAACTCGACTTTGATTGGACCACAACGTTGCGACATGCTTGCGATGTGACTAATGTAGAACCAGCTTTAAAATAAGAATCGACTATGAATACCGGCCGAAGATAGCCTTAACTGTGGTAGCTTCTGGTTGGATAACGAAAAAACGTCCCAGCACAGTCTGGACACTTATCATGAAACAAATCGAATTCCGATCGAAATTATTCTAATTTCCTTAGGAAATACAATAGAAATGTAGGAAATAATTGAAGAATTCCAGTTGGAATCCATTTCGACTAATTCCATCCCAGACAGCACACTACATCCATTGGACATCCAGACTTGATTTTAATCTGGTCCAAACGTCCATAGATGTAGTACGAATGTTTTAAAAATGTACGTTATTCAACGTATAAAATATGTTTACATTTGGACATTTAAAAAATGTCCATTTCATTTAAAAAATTTTCTAAGCTACTCGCGTTGCTTTCGCTGATTTGACGTTAAATTTTTTTAAAAATCGCACAAGAAGTTTTACTTTTGTTACCTCCGGTAACGAAAATTTATCAAATTAAAGCTTAGTTTAGACAGTACGCAGCAAGCGGCAAGTCGAGCAGCAATAGTTTGCTACTTGCAGTGATAAAGCCCATGGCACATACAAAAACGTAAGGCCGTAATACGTAAGCAGTAAAGAAATCGTAAGATTGGATTCGCTACTGGCCTTACGGTCTCTATCGTGATTGGCCAATTCGCTTACTGATTACGTCTTACGGCCTTATGTTTTTGTATGTGCCATGGGCTTAAGAATTTGGAATCTTTTGCTTCCAACGTGCAGTCAGCCAGGGCTGCGTTCAGAATCATCATCTGAGCGCACCCAGGTGTCGTGTTATCCTTGTTTATCATTCGTGAACAAGGATAAAACAATAACATCTGGGTGCATCCGGACGACGATTTTGAACGCACCCCAGTAAGACCAATGCAGTGGAGAGAATAGAGTCCCTAGAATACCAGAGTCTGGTCTATAGTGGAGGGAATGGCTAGTAGAGATCCTCAAGTAAGAGATACGCGAAGGGATACTAATGGCTCCTGCACACTGGACGCGGAAACGCTTGCCGCGCGGCAAAATGCAACGCGGTAACCAATGAACATGTTGGGAGCTGTAAGCTTATTGGTTACCGCGTCGTATTTTGTCGCGCGGTAAGCGTTTCCGCGTCCAGTGTGCAGAAGCCATAAGGGCCGATTGTTCTTTCGGTAAAGTTTACCTGTTATAAGTAAATTTGGCAATCCGCGTGATGGGGTAATTTTGCTATTTATCTAACAGGTAAACTTTACCAAAAGATGGAACAAGAGGCCCTAAAGCCCAGTGTCCACGATGCTAGAAATCCGTCAGAGATCTCGGATGAAGAAAGAATTGACCAATCGCATTGATCATGTGACTAAATTGTTTAAATGTAATTGGTTAATTCTTTCCCTCTCCGAGATCTCGGACCAATTTCTAGTATCGTGGACACAAGGCTTAAGAGAGATTAAAAGATACTAAAAGAGATACTTGAGGGTCTCTAATGCGCTTAGTTCACACTAGATGCGATGGGCGATATCCAATGAAAGCTCTGCTTTTTCTTACGCGACGATGTAAAGCAGAGCTCTCATTGGCTATCTATATATTCTTATAAGAATCATTTTGTCTGAATTGTGGTCTAAAATTTGTTTAATGTATTAATTTGGTCCAGTTTTAGTCCATTGCGTCCTAAAATGGACGTTTTTAAGAAATCCAAAATGGTAACACTGAATGTTTTTGAAATGTTTTTAAAATATCCGTGGATCTAATCTGGACGTTTTTAATATATCCAAAACGTCCAACATGTACGTTTTAAATACATTTTTAAAACGTTACTGTGCTGTCTGGGATAATAAGTACATACATATCCAGTTTATCCGATTATGCGGTCTGTTTTTGACGACGTCCGATCATTTTCACGAAACTTCTCGGGATACATTGTCATGTAAACAAGCATGGCTGTATGCACGGATTGTGAAAAGATTTGTGCAGCCAAACCGAACATTTATTTTTGAAAAATGCGTTAATTTTATTTGATTATCTGTAATTTTCGGAATCAAACTGAGCGGATACTATTTCGATAAGTCGAAAATTTTGTTAATTGTTGCCCAGCGCACATAACCGTCTAGATATTTCAAAATTTTAGAAGAGAGAGAGAAAGAGAGTCATTATATTATATTTCGAAGCGATTTGATCAAGTGCGGTGGATCAAAGATCAGGAAGATTTTATGCCCAAATCTTTCAAAATATGTTTTATTTTCGGAAATATTAAATTTCTTAATCAATCCTTGATTTCGTGGCCCTTGATCGCAAATAATGCTTTTGACGATTAAATTATTGTACGACGACAAACACCTAGACGCTTAATTCCTCGACGGTGAATATCTAGACACCCTCTTCCTCGACTCGGTAAATACCTAGATTTTCAATGACAATCTCGATATATTTCATTTCAATTTTAATTAATAATTTAAATTTTAATAATAATTTTAATTTTAATTTTAATTTTAATTTTAATAATAATTTTAACTTTAAGTAATAATGTTGCCATCGCTGATTATCACAACCGTCATGTGTGGTTGATCACGTTCGAATGTGCAATGCTGCCATCGCTTGGTTAAGTCAAGAGCCATCTATTATCGAAAAAACGAGACGTACATTT